ACTTTTTGACATGACATAAAACTATTTTTTTTATTAATTACAATTTTTTAAGCACATGTTTTTATGGATACATTTTTATTTCTAATTACCTAACATATAAGTTAGTAACACGATTTTGTTTCCTGTAAAGAATCCCAATTTGAAGGGAAATATAAAATTATATTTTTTTTAATTAGCTCTATTTTTTATATTTAAAAAATTAAAAATTATATTGTTTCCATCTATAGGTACTTTTTTAAACGGTTTTATATTCTAGATATCTAAACAAAATTAGAGTTATAATTTCACATAACCTCTGTTTGTTGTAAACAAATCCAATTTATATGGAATTCAAAAATTAAACATACTTTGTAATCAACTATGATTTTTATAACCATTTTTTATGTTTAATTAAATTTAATATTATATTATTTCCAAGTTTTGGGATTCTTTTTTTCAGTTTTGGCGTTTTTTTTTTAATTATGAAAATATCTACATACCAGTTATTATAAGATGTAGTGGTTAGAAACAAATCCAACTTATATGGAATTATAAAATTAAACATATCAGTTATGATATGTAGATCGATAATTTATATGTTTAATTAAATATTAATTACACGATTTCCAACTTTTGGGACTCTTTATTGTATTCAAATTTTAATAATGTACATATTCTTATAAATACGGTTCTTCTAAATTCATTCTCATCTACAGATTTACAAAAACGTTTTCCATTCAGCTTTACCCAAACTCTACTTGCATTACAGTAAAAAACGGCCATCGGCACTGAAATCTTGAATAATATATAAGAGCAAGCTCCTTGCTTGCGGAAATTTATGATTTGGCAATTCATTTATCTTGAAAATATTATTTAGAAAATCACATTTTTCTCATTGCCGTGCACATGTAAAATAAACTAAATTTAGCGTTATTATATTCTCTGTATTTTTTACATTTATATTGCACAAGTTAAAATCTAAATGTATATTTATCATCAAATCCTATGAGCTTATGTCCAATGATGACTAACATGATATATCTGATGATAAAAATAAAAATAAACCAACTTTGAACAAAAACTAAGATAGATAGCCTATTCATAAACAATTAATAAAAAACAAACAAACCAATTTTGTGCCGAACCTGAAACATTTTTTTTTAATAATTACAATTTTTTAAGCACATGTTTTTATGGATACTTTTTTATTTCTAATTACCTAACATATAAGTTAATAACACGATTTTGTTTTCCTGTAAAGAATCCCAATTTGAAGGGAAAATATAAAATTATATATTCTTTTAATTAGCTCTATTTTTTATGTTTAAAAAAATTAAAAATTATATTGTTTCCATCTATAGGGACTCTTTTAAACTGTTTTATATTCTAGATATCCAAACAAAATTGGAGTTATAATTTCACATAACCTCTGTTTGTTGTAAATAAATCCAATTTATATGGAATTCTAAAATTAAATATACTTTGTAATCAACTATGATTTTTATAACCATTTTTATGTTTAATTAAATTTGATATTATATTGTTTCCAAGTTTTGGGATTCTTTTTTTCAGTTTTGGCGTGTTTTTTTTTTTTT